ATTTTTTTTAAAAAAAAAAAATTTAAAAATGAAAAAAAATATATATATATATATAATTTTTTTTGAAAAATTAGAAGAAAAAAAAAAGGTTATGTATGTAATTGAAAAGGTTATTAATATACTAATTGTGTTACGGATTGAATTTATTTGTTTCGCAAATATATATGCATTATATCTCTATTAAGTAGTAATACAATTACAAAATCTTATACAAATTATGTGATAAATATGCAATCACCTAAGAAAAAAAAATATAATAAAATAAACAAATAATTTCACAAATAAGAAGAGGGGGTTTAATTTTTTTTAAAATATGCAGGGTCAAAATATAAAATGGTCGATTTATTCTATAATAAAATAAATGTTTTAAAATATGAAACGAAAGATTTTTCTTGGCATATAATAAATTATTTGAAATAATGACTGAAATTGTTTTATTAAAATAATCATAACGCGCAATGGTTTACTTTGGTACTTTGGTTTACTTTTTCATTTTGATATTATAAAAAGTACTGTAGATCATTACGCAGAAGCTACCTAAGCTACCTACTACCGAGTACTGAGTATTAAATAAATAATGTAACATGATATAAGCGGGTGAAATTCAAAATATTTATCTAAAAAATTCAAAAATTTATTATTTCTTTAACAAAAAAAATGACAAAAAAATGACGTCAATATTTTTTTTTTCCTATGAAAAAAAAGTCCGAGATTTTTAAAATGTTCAGGTGTTATCCGGAAAACTTTCAGAGTATGTGATGATTCATGTTTGTAAACGTTATGATATTCCGATAATATTCCGAATATTTTCTACGTTTCCTGACGTTTTTCCGAAACGCATGAACGCCATGTCTTTTTTTTTTGATCAATGAAAGATATATTTTTATTAAATATTGCTTTGTGAAACTAATTAAAAAATATAAGTTCTTAATTAATTATTTATATAATACAAAAATTACGTAAACATACCCCTAATTTTTTTAAGTAACACATTAGTAATAGCTTTTGTAATATTCTATTACGTGATATCATCGCGACATAAAAAAAAAATGTAATTATTATCGGAAAAATATTAAAATTTTAATGAGGAAAATAATATTGTTTTATGTTTCCGAGTACACTATCACTAACATTTGTCTATAAAAATTATCTTATCATTCAAATAAACTGACGATCAGGAGCTGCGGAGTAAAGGTTAAAATAAAATAAAAGCCATATTGCTATAATATTTATAATATACAACCTGATTTACTTTATAAATCTTATAAGCGGACCTTCAAAATTTTATGCAATATGCATGATCCAATATATCAGCATAGTGGACATGCTCATATCACCTTGCCGATCATTTGCTGATCACTAATTCCGGATTTTAAAAACTTATTGCAAAATCACAAATATTTTTCAAATAATGTGGCAAAAAAATAATGGAATCCAAGTAAAAACACTAAATTATTATATGACTTTAATTATATAATTATTAGCACAATTTTTAATATTATAAATATATTATTTGTATATGATAATTCACTAATTATTGCTGATCATCAGACAAAAATTAAAGTGCGAAAATGAATATGCGAGTGCGAAACTTAAGAATTTGCACAAATATTCTTTATATTATGTAGAATCTATAAAAAAAATAATGCAGTGATCTGATTCATAATGCAGGTTTTTTATTAGTAACATAATTAGTGAATAATTTCGTAAAATGAATAAATATATGCCAAATAATAATAAAAGCTAAAAAGTTTCTAACGAAATTTAATACACAATAAATTAAAACTAAATTTAAATTATTTGTGAAATTTAAGCATATATTATTATGTAAATTTTTTTAGCAACGGTATTTATATTATGTGATAATTGAATAAATGATCAGCAAATGATCAACAACAGTATTGTGATAAAATAGGGATGTCCGCTATGCTCAATATATCGAAGCTTATTTTTTCATCACATGATCACATGATCAATAATATCAATAATCATGAGTCATCTCTTACAGAAAAAAAAATTTTTTTGTTTGATCATGACGCGATTTTTGGCTCTGACTATAGCAAACTCGCAAACTCCGTGGGAAAAAAAATTTTTGTATGACAATTTTTTTATATAAAATACCTCTCCATCCGAAATTTTTTTTAAAAAAAATATCCTTTTTTCCCCCTCATTCTTATCATTTCCAGCATAGTAACCCATAAAAAAAAATAATGTTTCTTTTTTTTCAAAAAAAAGGAAAGAAAGCTCGAATGAAAACTTACTTTTTTTCCATAGTAACCCATCTTCTTCGTGTTTTCTTATCGTTTTTGGCGTTTCAAACACTACGCGTAGGATATTTTTCAAAAGTTTCTTTTTTATTTTTAACTTTATTTTGTTTATATATAAGAAACCTCACTCACACACTTTAATGCGGTAGTAGTAACCTATCTTCTTCATAGTTTTCTTATCTCCTTTTAGGCCCTTTTTTCATTTCGTCTCTCTTTAGGTATGTGGGTAGTGTGGGTTGGGAGTGCGGGTGGGTTGGGAGTGTGGGAGTGTGGGAGTGTGGGTTGGGAGTGTGGGAGTGGGTTGTGTGGGAGTGTGGGTGTGTGGGT